TTTTTCACCAGATCTAGGAAGGTGGAAGGGCTGGATCATATGATTTTTAATGTAAAACTTATGTTGCTACTTTGCATATTCCAAACATAAATAGAAAGCTCTAGGTTTTGTTTTCCTTAATTTAGTGCTGAACAGTGGGTAAGTTTACTTCTCTGGAAAGGTCCCAGATATTTTTTTGTTGAACAATAGTTGTCCTCTTTGTTGGCAGAGCATGGAAGCAGAGCATTACGAATGATGTCATTATGTGTAACTAGTTGCTTTTTGAGATGTGAAGCATAAGACAAAGTTACATTCAAAAGGAATGCAACATGCAGAATCAAACTCACTTTTTTGTGTTATAAATAAAGCCTTTTTAGAGGCATTTTGAGAGGGATGTGGCCAGTGTTACTCCATTCTCTTATCAATTGTAGAATTTTTGTTTTTCGAGTAACAGAAAGTACTGAAAAAGCAATAAGCACCACAAGGAATGTACATAATGCTCAATGTTACAAATACTGTAATGTAATGAGCTACTTCTTCAGCATGGGAATATATAGTGACTAGAGATAGGCATAAATTTTAAAAAATGAACCACCAAATTAATTCAAAAATCACAAACTTGCATTCATATGAATCAATGGCCCAACGAATATGAATCAATGAATCAATTTGTTTCACTATAAAATGGCCCCAAAGGCACCTAGAGACACCAGTATAACAGAAAAGCTTCCTCTGGCTCTCCACTATAATCCCTCCGGGTTTGGTGAAGATTGGGTTTCCCCAAGCACTTTTCGGGGGGGGGGCGGTTTGAAGATGCACTTTGTGGGTGTATAACTTGGATGTCTGAAACTCAGTCCTCACCAAACATGGAGGGATTGTAGGAAAGTGTCAGTAGAATCATATTGGTGGTTTTAGTGTCTCTAGGTGCCTGGGGACAACTTTCCTGGGGGGGGGCTACTTGTGGATAATTCAGATATCCAAAACCCAAACTTGCAGAGCTCATAGGGAAGCATCGCAGGAAACTTCCCTGAAATTTTGGTGTCTCTGGGTGCTTTACAGGCTGTCTTATAGGGTTTTAAACAAAAAAATGAATTGACAAATGGATTCATTGATTTGTCAGAAAAAAATCATAAATTCATAATTTGGTGACCTTGACGAACCCTGAATCAAAATGAATCACCATTTTTCTGATTCGTGCCCATCTCTAACAATGACTATGAATTACTTTTGAAATTTGTTCAATTTGTTCCCAAAACCCACTTTCTAAAGGGATTTTTCAAAGCTCTGTCCATGAGTATGGTGATAGGGAAAACCAACCTGAGAAAAGCAAGGTGAATAATTTGTGATAGATGCTTAGGCCATCATCCTAGTCACGTTTCCTATAGCATCAGATCCATTGAACACAGCGCAATTTGCTTTTCAGTAAATATGCTTAGGGTGTCTTGTTAATTACTGAACACTAATTTGATATGATACATTGGTGCAATCTTTTTCTTTTGTATACTCATGTTTTAAGTAATCTGTATGCTGCTCAAATCACTAGAGAGTGATGACAGAATAAAGTAACAGCACACAACAGCTACTTGCATTATAAACATGGGCTGTTGGGAACATAAATACTATATTTTGACCCTAATCCCTCTCTGCTTTTCTCCAATGCCTCCTGCAAATGATATATCAAAAGGGGATTTTTCTCCCACGCTGACATTAATGAAATTGTCATATAATCTTTACAGTGCTCCTGCTGTATAGTTCTGCTTTATATAGCTATAATATTAATACATATAAAATACTGAATGCTTGAGAAATGCAGCATTCCACTTAGGGAATGATGTCCACCCATAACATTCTAGTATATGAGCTGCAGGTGGGATGGGTGGTTGTTCTGAGGGACAGGCGCACAGATGGGTTGCAAGGCCCTAAACTATTTAGGTCTTTAAGAGCAAGCAAGGCGATGATTTAGACCACAGAGATGCTTTGCAATGTCTTGCAGTTAACAGGGAAGCCAAGCTTTCATTGTTTCCAGATACTGCATAAGGCAGGTGTAGGGAAAAATCAGTTTTACTCCACCTGGGGAAAATAACTTACCTCACTCTGAATTGTAGTGGAGACTGCTGGCCAGGAGTATAGTGGCACAATTAAAACTACTGCACCAGATGCACCCATTCCTGGAGAGATCTGATCTGGCCACGGTGACACATGACTTAGTTACATCCCAGCTTGATTACTGTAATTCACTTTTTGTGGCGCTGCCTCTGGAAAGATCCTGGAAACTTCAGTGGGTCCAAAATGCAGCAGCTAGATTGCTAACTAGAGCTGGTTGCAGGGATCACATAACTCCCCCGTTACAGCAGCTCCGCTGGCTGCCAAGTTTGGGAACTAGACGTCTAAAGAGAGCTCACCATGGTGACCCGAAATCCTAACTATTGGTATGTCTATCTACAGTTTCTGGGAGGAGTAGTCTATGACCACTTGGCGGGGGGAGTCTCATTTGGGATCATAGCCTTAGATTTTAATGATAATCTCTTACAGAATACATTTTTTAGAGTTAATATAAAGTTTGTGCCCTAGGATCTTCAAGATAGAGGTACATAGTTAAATGTTGTCTTCCAGACATTTTAGGATGACAATTTATATAATCCCTCACTCTTTGCCATCCTGTGTAGGGTTGGTGGGTGTTATAGGCCTAAAAAAGATATATGGAGAGCCAGATGTGTACATTGCTAGTCTACAACTTTGAGTCCTAGGGCATGCTTGCATTCTAAAATGTTTTGTTGTTGTTGTTGTTTTGTGTGAGAAATTATTCTTTGGGCTCTTTATCACTTTGGGCTCAATGACAAGGTCAGGTATAAAGTGACATAATAAACTTCTTTATTTCAGCTGCATTTAAAAATCAATCTTATTTCACTTAGACATTAAACTTTTTCAAGGGAGTAATGGTTATGGCTCTTGTGCTTTTAACAGCTGCACAAGTAACTAGAGCTGGTTGCAGGGATCACATAACTCCCCCGTTACAGCAGCTCCGCTGGCTGCCAAGTTTGGGAACTAGACGTCTAAAGAGAGCTCACCATGGTGACCCGAAATCCTAACTATTGGTATGTCTATCTACAGTTTCTGGGAGGAGTAGTCTATGACCACTTGGCGGGGGGAGTCTCATTTGGGATCATAGCCTTAGATTTTAATGATAATCTCTTACAGAATACATTTTTTAGAGTTAATATAAAGTTTGTGCCCTAGGATCTTCAAGATAGAGGTACATAGTTAAATGTTGTCTTCCAGACATTTTAGGATGACAATTTATATAATCCCTCACTCTTTGCCATCCTGTGTAGGGTTGGTGGGTGTTATAGGCCTAAAAAAGATATATGGAGAGCCAGATGTGTACATTGCTAGTCTACAACTTTGAGTCCTAGGGCATGCTTGCATTCTAAAATGTTTTGTTGTTGTTGTTGTTTTGTGTGAGAAATTATTCTTTGGGCTCTTTATCACTTTGGGCTCAATGACAAGGTCAGGTATAAAGTGACATAATAAACTTCTTTATTTCAGCTGCATTTAAAAATCAATCTTATTTCACTTAGACATTAAACTTTTTCAAGGGAGTAATGGTTATGGCTCTTGTGCGTTTAACAGCTGCACAAGAAGATACTCAGCAAGTGAAGCTTTGTGGAACAATGATATTCAACCACAGAGCAGTTTTATTGCTAAATTTCAGCCAGCCATGCAGTAAGGAGCACTTCAAGGGTGAGAGGAATATCTGTTCCTATATTCCTATGATGTCTGCTTTTTGTGACCCAGATTACTTAGACTATGGCATACAGTATGTAGGACCAGAGGAAAAAAGTGTGAGCAGTAGAAGCCATATAAACATCGTGTCCCATTGATGTTTCCCCCTTGTTGAGCAATAATAACCCTACTTGATTTTCATATAGTACATTTTGACTGTCCAAATACTTGATAAAGCTTATCTCACAATAATCCTTAAAAGCAAGTCAGTGTTTTGAGGGTCAGTATAGTTATAGCACTTTGAGAACTACTGAAGAGGAGCAGCTTCATATCCTTGTTCTGCCATGCAATTTCCAGAGTAATCTTGGATCTTTTTCTCAGCATAACACTAAATTGCAGGACTGCTGAGAAGATAAAATGGTGAGAGATTGACAGGAAAACTGCCTTGAACATCTTGGAAGAAACGCAGGATATAGCTCCTATTGTTGTTAGTACTAACATGGTATCATATGTTGTATGTGAGCAGAAGGGTTTCTGAAACTCAAATAAGAGCATCTAACCCTACTTGGTAATGTATTTGTGAAGGCTTTCATAGGCGGGATCTAATGGTTGTTGTGGGTTTTTCGGGCTCTTACAACCTTCAGAACACAGCCGAAGAGCCCAAAAACCCTCAACAACACTACTTGGTAAGTTGCGGATTCCATAACACCAATTCTTGGAGGAGCCAGCTAATATATTCTTTGCTTAAACCCAATCCCCCTCATATTGTGCAGTATCCTAACATATCAATACAGTTTAGATGGAAGGCAGAAACTCATTCACACCTCCAGTTGAAAGCCTTTCTTTTAATTCCTACTTGTACATTTAGTCATATGGGGGATACAAGCTATTGGTGGGTTTATGGCAGTTGAGAATTTATGGCAGTTTGCTGCTGTGCCAAGCTTGCTATATAATAAACTGAGAGAAAAATTCCTGGTGCTTTCCTATGTGCTTTATTTTGCCCTCAAAAGGTTTCTAACATTTGTAGATGTTCGTGTCTGGATTTTGGAAACAACATGCCAGAATTTGGTTTGCAATGTAGGGAGAAAAGTTGCATTGCTTCCCATGCTCCTCTTCTGTTGTTCTTTCCTTGGTCTTGTAATCTGGGATCGGTAACTTGAGTGGCATTTTCATAGTTAGTATTATGGCCTGTTAGCTACGGAAGAACATTTGATTGATCTGTGCTTGTTATATAATAGAAGTAATATAACAGATGAAGCAACACAATTTCATTTAATCCTTGTGATTCGTCCTTGCAGATCTGAAGAAGCACAGGAACAGCCAACACTATTTTGGATTGGAATTAAACTTTGTTTGCCCCTTTTGGTGATCCAGCAGCATCCAATGATGAATCAAAAAGATCCATCAGAAGAACAGGTGGAAAGCTCTGTTTCCTTCTGCCTGGTCTGTGGCCAGCCCCATCTACCAGAAGAGAACCATGTATATAGCTACACTGAAGAAGTGGATGATGACCTGATCTGCCACATTTGTTTGCAGCCTTTGCTTCAACCTCTGGACACACCTTGTGGGCACACCTATTGCACTGTCTGCCTTACAGATTTCCTAGTGGAAAAAGACTTCTGCCCTGTGGATCGTAAACCTTTGATCTTACAGACTTGCCGGAAATCCAGCCTCCTAGTAAATAAACTCCTGGATAAGCTAATGGTTAGCTGCCCTTTCACAGAACACTGCTCAGAGGTCGTGCAACGCAGTAACCTTGAGCAACATTTTCAAAATGGGTAAGTACTTTCTTTGTGTATGTTCCCTCTCCACTCAATAACAATACAGCTGGAAATTGCCTCAATGTCAATGAAAAATCCTTTACTTTTTCAGCTATTGGCATTTTGAAAAGTAACATTTTCCTCCTGGTACATTTCCTTTTATATGTTTTGCCTCCTGAATAAGAGGTGGGCGTCCAGCCTCAGACTACGTAATATATGGCTGTGTATCAGTGAGTAGTCTTACTATTAGTTCCATTAGTAAATGCAGTCAACATAGTAAACGCCAAAGAATAATAGTTGTCTACTGTATGCCTCTAGCTTTCACTGGCCTTCAGAACTATTGCAACTCTGACAGCCAGAGGCCCCCAAGGGAATTTGCTTCAAGTATTCCATCTACCCTAGGCAATTAAGAGTTGTTATACAAATGGCAGTGACTTTTAACATGATGATGTAGTCAATGATGTTTTCTTTGCTATTAGCGAGTAGTCTTACTATTATTTCCAGTAGTAAATGCAGTCAACATAGTAAACGGCAAAGAACAATAGCTGCCTACTGTATGCCTCTAACTTTCACTGGCCCTCAGAACTATTGCAACTCTGACAGCCAGAGGCCCCCAAGGGAATTTGCTTCAAGTATTCCATCTACCCTGGGCAATTAAGAGTTGTTATACAAATGCCAGTGACTTTTAACATGATGATGTAGTCGATGACATTTTCTTTGGAGTTTGATTCACTGACTGTATTACAGTTGAATTCGCAGTCAGTGATCACACAGGGGCCGTGGATTGATTCAAGAGTTCAATGTTCACACTCGATGCGTTGCAATTTGCATTTCAGACCACTTTCTTTCCATCCTCTAGTCCTTCTTCTGCCAATCCTTTTCAGTGTCAAGCCAGTTGGTTTGAAAGAGTTGTACAGTGTTCCGGCAAAGGCAGCAGTATTCCAAAGTTCTTCATGTGTACAGAAATACCACATACCAAATAACATAGGAAGGTGTTTTATTTCATCTGAATTGTTTCTGTTTAGTTCATCGCTTTTTAAAATTGTTTTTTTCATCCAGAGGTGGTCTGGCACTAAATTAGAATGAATGAATGAATGAATGAATGAATGAATGAATGAAAACAATCAGGGAGAAAGTACATGGAGGGGAGGGGGTGTTCCCATGGTTCTGAACATCATGCTCCAACTGCCTGCCTCACTGAAACAACACCCATAGATATCCACTCCCATTTTTGCAAGAATAAATCAACTGATCATATGGGGGGGAGTCTATCCAAATAATTCTGGCTTGAAAATAGTAGAAGCTCTTAGCAGCAGAGGAAAAAAAGCTGTGAACTAGCTGTTGTATTGTGTGATCAGGGGGGGGGAATACTTCAAATTGATCCATACTATAACCATAGCAAATCCTGCATTATTTGATCCTGTTGTCACAGCCCAAGTTACTTTAGGGAGCAGACTAAACACAGTATCCCGTCTGGTCTAAAAATCCTTCTTTTCTTCCTTGAGGCACTTGGGTCACCTCTTCTCGAGCTCCTCATTCCCAGTGAACTCTCCATATCATCTATTCCTTCTTTACATTGTAACACTTGCATTTGCTGATGGTGTTTCTGGAATTCAGCTTTTGTCCTGAGATCATGAGGCTTTTAAGGCAGAAAGGTTTCTGCAAACAAGATTTTGTCTGTGCGTCACAGCTAATCTTTGTGAAAATATAATAGGGCTCAGCTACTGGGAACTTTATAGGGATGAGGGCTTGAGTTGCAGGATTCACTAGTGACTTGACTTGGTGTTTTTTTTTTTCAACAACACGGGCATGACTCACAACCTAGAACCTATCACCCCTCCCCTTTTTCGGGGGGGGTTGTTTTCAATAGGGACTCAGACTTGGTACCAAAGACTTGCTAACATCCCTGGAACTTCAGAAAAGCTTAGATGGGCCTTGCAGGCAGTCTCCCATCCAGTCACTGGCTAGACAAATAACAAATGGACTTAAACCATTCACCAGAATGTTTTAGTCTCCCACACTACTTTCTTCCACAAATGTTCCCCATACCTGGCCTTTGCAACAGGAGCAAATAAATGGGTAGTCTAGATCTATGGTTTCTTAGGCAGATCCTAGGAGTTCTTCAGGGAAACTAGGGTTCCAGAGAAACCAGCAGGAAAGTTCCATGGAAAAGAGTGTTCAAGGGAGGCCAACAAATAATTGCTGCAGAAGCTCTTTACAGCCCCAATTGGCTGGGCAGCTGGGGAGTCAAGAAGCTATTATCTATGAGATCCCTAGTGGTCCTGTGGTATGCAATTACCAATGTACCCTTAGAGCAGTCCAGGATTTGAGTTCAGATCTCTGGGATCAAAGATTCACACCCTGGATCCCAACAGTTTAACTAGAAAACAGTTGATTGCAGCATCAGGTAAACAAAGGAAACAAATAACAATCAGACTAGTCCAATACTAAGAAATGAATTTGTCCGAATGGCATATAAGCAGCAGCGCAAAACAGCAAAGGCTGGGGAGGAGTTGTAATTAGAGATTAGGGGGCGATAACGAGGGTCCAGCCCCAACGGTCCACTCGCAATTCCGCCACTGCCACAACCTCCACGGAGCTTTCCAATGGCTCTGGAGATTGCGATCGGCTCGCCACTCCTGGGAGGAGGAGGTGGGATGACAAGCCTCTCTGCCAGGTCGAAGACTGGCTCACAGATCACGATCTCCGGAGCCATTGGAAGGCTCCACAAAGGTTGTGGCAGCGGCGGAATTGTGAGCGGGCCGTCCTGCCCCATGGGGCTGGACCCTCGTGATCGCCAGCTGTATGATGACTAGTTATAATCCTAGAAAAGGGGAGAAGTCCCACTGTCTATTCTGGCAAGCCACAGTTCTGGATCTTTTCTCACAGGTACATCTTTGGTGTGACCTCAGATGCAAGCAAGCAAATACTCTCAGTGAAGGACAAAGGAGCTGTCTTGGCTCATCTTGGCCCTGCATGAACTCTCCCTTACCAGAAAACTTGGCCAGGATGAGTGCAGAATGAAATGGGGAAGGTTCATGTTTAGTACAACAGGAAAGCCCAAGTTTATCTCGCCAGTGATGTTAGCTCTTTCAAGTTGATTAGCAAACTCTTCCTGTTAAAAGGGGAGAAGTCCCACTCCTGCCATCTTAAAAGTAATCCCTGCCATCAGTGAAATCCACCAGAATAAGCTATATAGTGATAGTCCCTTTCCTGAGAAATAGAGATATGAAAAGATAATCCAAGACAGTATTATTTTCTTGTGCATGTATCAAAAAGTCCTACAAAACTCTGACTTTGAGAGATTTTGCTTGCTTGCTGATCACATATATTTGATTATATGTGATCAGCACAACAGCCTGCTTGTTTAGTGGAAAGCTGCATAAATTCAAATCTTGGAAAGTGTGCACCTTTTTGCAGACATGAGTATTTTCAGTTTGCCTTGTGCTAACTTGTCCTCTCAAAGGGAGGTGCCCATCTACAGCAGTTTGCCAGCCTGACTCTTTCATTGCTTCCTACTCTCTCCACCTGGTCAAATCATATTGCATGGCATCACACCCACCGTCAAACCTGTGCCCATCATGTAGACACATTGTGTTGTTTCTGACCTGAACTGTGTAGTTTCTCTCTCTTGCCACATCCAGGTCCTTTCCTACCCCCTTTTCTCTGATGCAGCTCAGCTCCAAACCCATCTGCTTGTCTGCCCAGTGATGTCAATGTACCAGCTGCTTCTGAAGAACCACTCTGAAGAATGTAGGAGGAGACAGGTCTTTTTTTCCTGTGTGCATGATCAGCCTGGAATTTTTTTGCAGCTATAAGTCACTGCCTCGCCTCACACCAACCATGCTCTGCTCCCTTAAACCCTCACATCTAACCTCCATCTCTGAGAATCAGATCAAGTAATCCTCTTACAGGTCAATGATTTTTCCCCAGCGTAGCTTCATTTAAGGGATTTGCATTGATTCATAATATGCTCTCTCGATTGCATTGAAATGGGAAGGCTTGTTTGAGAAACAGAGGTGAGGATAGTGGCACTGAGTAATATTTTTAAGAAGATTGAGGTTCTGTGTCCCACCACAGTGAGACGAGGGGACAAAGAGGAACCTTAGCAGCAGTTCTAAAATTTTGCACTTGAGGAAAAAAAAACATGAAGGCTTTGCTGTTGTTGGTTCTACCTTGGCTAAGTCCTGCAAACTACATAGACAGTGTGGGGAATCTGCATTTCCTGTACTCAGAGCTGTGAGTACTCGCAGTTGTGCTGTTGTGATGGTGTCTATGTGTTGTGTCTTTTTGTGGTCTATTTTAAAAGAAATTGGGTGTTGGTGGTGGTGGTAACGATGATTATAAAAAACACCTTAACTGCTTCTCTTTGATGTGTGTGTGTGTGTTTATATACATGTATATCTAAAATAATGAGCTTGCTGACATCCATGTACCTAATCTGAGAAGCTTGAGAAACAAATGCCTCTTTAACACTCTCTCATCACCACCTGCCAAAAGTGCTGGAAACAGCTGAGACAAGCCCACTATATTCTTTCTCAATATCTCTTTGTAGAGTTGATATTTAGGATGGGGATATTTCCTCCAGAACAAATTCAAGCAGATGAACTGAATATGCTGTCGATTAATGGATGTCTAGTTTATACTCTCCTGCAGTTGCTAGGAATGTTTCCACAATGCATAATTTGTGCAGGAGCATGAAAATATACCCCATATCTGTCCACAGCTGGGATATTTCTTGTATTAAACACTGTTTTTTATTTGAAAAGAGTCACAGCATGTGGGGGGGGAGGCAGGAGGGTGTTTTTGTATGTCTATGTAAAAATCCATGCTGTTTTCCACTGCTTATGATGCATGTATTCATTTTTGGAGCATTGCTTGTAAATAATGCTAGTTGAGTTAGCCTGTAAATGTCATGGTGAATTGCCTTCAGAATGCTGATTACCCTTGCCAAGGTTCTGGAAAACAGTATAATTTGTAAAATATGTTCTGAAGTGAGATGGATTAGTGGAGCATGT